GTCAGTCTATATGTAGATGACGTCACAGTCTATATGTAGATGACGTCACAGTATATGTAGAAGGTGTCAGTCTATATGTAGATGATGTCACAGTCCATATGTAGATGAAGTCACAGCCTATATGTAGATAATGTCACAGCATAGAGAAAGTGTGCTTTAACTGAAAATATTTTAAACTCAAAAGTATGAGATGAACGCGCACATCTCAGACAGGCAGCGGACATTTTGACTTGTCAAAAAGGGGAAAAGTTGAAGCTAAATGTTTTTGTGACTGAATGTAAAACCAACTAAAGGCTCTTTAGTTTGATTCATCCTCTGTATGTTACTGCTTCTGTGCAAAATAACCAACACACTTATTTCATTTTATCCTCACGAAGCTAATGATTTCACTTCCTGGTTTTCAGACTAAGCTAATGTGCTCCACGAACAAAAGGAATGTTTTTTTTTTTTACGTAAGCTCGACTTTTACATTATAATGAAGATGTTTCTGAATACAGAAAACAACCTTTTCATTTTGCACAATACTTGGAGCCTAAAATCAAACAACTAAGTGGAACTCAGCCACAACGTCTTTTACTAAATGTGTGTTTATTCCCTTTTAAAACAAGTCTAAACGTCTTGGTGCTTGCAAACTGACAGTCACATTGTAAGGAGGCAGCAGCTGCTCAGATGTAGTTCCGGCAGCTGCTGTTCACACAGGACTGAAGCTTTATGAGCCGCTGGTTCATCATCTGCAAGATGGACGGTTCCACCTTCTTCACAATGTTTTCTAGTTGGTATGGGTCTGATGACATGTTGTACATCTCTACAAAAGACTGAGGAGACAAAACCACAGAGAGAAACGTTCAACATCTGTCGGTTCCACAAAATGTGAAAAGCATACTGATTTGTTAAGATGGAAATAAAATAAAATAAATCAGTGCACCTCACTGTCTGCAAACTCGCAGTACTGCAGGTTCTGATCTTTGTCCAGAGTCCTGACGCAGGCGTATGTGTTGTTGTAGGCATCCTCACACACACAGTCTGGAAAACATTGCTGAGAAAAGAAAAAACAAAAACGGGTGTCATTCATCTGGTTGACCAGATTTTGACAAATGCATTTACTGTATTTTCCACCCTATAAGTCGCATCAGTCCAAATATGTTTAATAAAGTGGAAAAAATCCATAAATACGTAGCATCAATTATGCATCACCGCTGACAACCCGGAAATGTGGACCGGTGTTGTGCCAAAAATCGATTGGCTGCTAAATGGCGGCCACGGGAGCGTGCACGGAAGGATTCAACAAGAATTTAACAAGATTAACACTTAAAAACAATTATTTGTTTGCTCGAAATTATAGTAAAGGTGTGTCTCAGTTGAACTTTTACTTAATAAATGTACTTTGACAGTCAAATCAGATGCATTTCAAAAGTATTATCTGCCTCAGTGCTCTGGGAGCGCGCAGAGGGAGGAAATCAGGAAGGAGGAACGCTGTGCATTTCTTCAAAATTTAACAAAATAACCACCTAAAACAATTGTTTGTTTGCTCGACATTATAGTAAAGGTGTGTCTCAGTTGAACTTTTACTTAATAAATGCACTTTAATGGTGAAAATAGCTTCATCTCACCGGGGCAGCGCAGCGAAATGAAGCTAATTTGACGTTTGTTCCAGGCGAGCTGGATGAGGGTGGTATGTATGGCAAGCCGATTGTGTCATTAGCCACTTTTACCTATTACATGACACAATGGCATGCCATTCTACTTGAGTGCCATCTAGCTGCTGAAAATGGTAGTGTTCAATATTTTCAGTCAGAATTAATGAAAACGGTCATATCTCAGCCAAAAATTGGTTTTTAAATATGAGAAAAAAAATCCTATGAATACGTCGCTTCTGCGTATAGGTCGAAGGGCATGAGAATTATTATTTTTTTTTAAAACGCGATTTATACGCTGAAAATTACAGTAAGAAGATTTTTTACAACTGGCTGCATTTCATCTACCACAGTCTCTTTAGTCATAACAGCTGTCAAAACACGCAATGTCTGCTTTTAATTAGAGTCTTTTGTGTATAATGTATATCATAAAATTAATCACAAAAACTCATCATTCATTACTGCGTTAGTAAAATAATCCCCAGATGTAAGCAGATGTTTTCAAATTGAATTTTGACTAAAACACTTGAGGTTGAGTCACAATAACCCCAGACAATCGTTAGAAACAATTCAAATCCAAAACTTGGAAAAATCCTGTATTTTCACAGATATTTAGCCTATGAGGAGTACTGAAGGTTCGAAAACGTCACCGTGACAAGACCGAGGGCTAATAATGGCTTGTTAGTGATGGAAGTTTGTCTTTGCCGGCATAAAAACAATTTAACAGCACCTGTTGGACTGACCCATCTGTCACTCTCAGCTGAAAGGTGTGGAGATAAATGAGCATCACAAGTAGTCACACAAGTGCACAACAAGATTTGTACGCATACCACAACATTCTCAAATGCATAAACAGTTTTTGTAATGTGCACATTTCAATATGCGCATGTAGGAATACACTGCACATACAAACTGTCACAACATGAGCACAAGTCACTGGTTCCAGACAGATCAGTCTACACAAGCACTGGATCAGCTGCGAATGTGACTCGAGGCTTTTTCGCAGCTCCAGATTCATGAAGGTGGTGCTGCGTTCAGGGCTGGTGAAAAGCTGGGTCATCTGAGACTTACATTTACTGGGTTATTAGAAATGTACAGTTCACATGTGTTAACATGTTCTTCTTGTGGAAAAACTACAGGAAAAACATAATTTCCAGGACTTTTTTGTGTGGACTCTACATTCGAAATAAACTACTGAAGTTTGTTCTTCTTGGGGGGTGGGGTGGGGAGAGAACTACTGGGAAATTATAGTTTTCCAGTATTAAATATATTTTTCCAATATATTTCCCACCTGAAGAATCACCTACTCATTTCAGGTTATTTCCATAAAATTAACATTTTTGTAATCCAGTAACATTAATATAATATAATATAATATATATATATTTTTTACAAGCCCATAGATGTTTAACAACAGAAACAATTATAATAAAATGTAATAAAATACACCAAAATGCAGGAAATCAAATCTACTTTATTCAAAATTTTCTGGGGGAGGAACCACGCCCCACCCCCCCCCCCCCCCCAAGCTATTTGCATTCTGGCATCGATCTGTTTACAAATGAAGCCCTGTTACTTGGTATGACTACTGCCGTTATGATAATGCTGTTTTCTGTAAAGAGTTTTCTGTAATAATCTGAAGAAGTGGTGATATATTTATTATGTTCATTATGTGAACAGGTAAAGTTTGTTGCCATGTTTGCAGAATCACTAAATTAACAGATGCGTCCAAAGAGTTTAATGATGTTCAGCTCTGACGTTTCTTTTTGGTGCCAACACAAAAACAATATTTAGAAGGAACACCAAAGGACAAATGTACTTTTACTCCAGCTGGTGGATCTGAGAGTTCAAAACCCAAAGGACACGACAAAACAAACTATCCCAAATCAACACTTGAGAGGTTTTAAAGACTTGCTCCTTGTTCTTCATGTGTTAGTACGATTTGTGTGTTGGCTGCTTACAGATACTCCAGATCCCAGTTTTGGACAGTAGGGGTCCGATACTGGATTTCCCTCTCCAGTGTACTCAACGAGGAAATATGGCCTTGCTGTGCCATTCCGCAGTGAAGGAGCCTGAACAGAAATTTTAGATTAGATTTATTTATTTTTAATTAGCAGTATTTAGTAAAACACACACATTTCATGTAAATTAGCAGCCAACCATCTGAAAGAGGAAAGACTGTCCATCCATATTGACAGTGGACAGGTTGACACCAGATATGTCCAATATGGTGGGACCAAGGTCGATGTTCAGCACCGGAGCCTGTGAGGGTCAAACACAGGGACTCAACCTTACAGCAACAACACAACGTGTTAAAGAATGGCAGTAGAAATATTTTGCTCGTGGATTGTTCCGACCTTCAACGTCTGGTTCGGTTTGATGCCTGGACCTCGGACCAGGAGCGGGATCCTGATGTCAAACTCGTACAGCTGCCTCTTATCAATGGGGAGAGAAAACTGACCTGGAACAGAGAGCGCAGATGATCCAGCAGGAAATGCATCAAAGCCAAACGTTAAAACGTAACATTTTGATGTTAAATGTTACGTGTGTGTTTGATATGTTCCTTAACAAGATCGTGGTCCTGCAGATACATTGAAACTGCATAAAAACTGTAACGTTTATGGAAGAAAGCAGAGTTTATTTTCTAAATATTTCTGGAAAGATTAGATGGCTCAGACGTGTGTGTGACATCACCACACTTAGAAAATCAGCAATTGGATCAAATCTATTAAAGAAATAAAAATGCCAGTTCAGTCTGGTAAAATCCAGCTGTCCGTGACTCGTTAAAACTTTAAGTGATGTTTCATCTGAAAAGACGGCCTGAGATGGACAACTCTAAAGCAGACTGGCTTTTCTTACTCATGTTGCCCCATCGTTGTCTCTGCACAAATATTTAGCAGTGTCTTGCGAGTTTTGTTTACTGTTGATACTGCTACCAAATGTCAAAGTGCATCATCAGATCACGTTCTGCTGCATATTTTGCATCTTTCTCTAAGCTATGGGAGGAGTAGCGCATCAAAAACACGAGTACCGCATACAGCACATTATACAAAGTATTTTACAGTAGTCCCTCACTACTTGGAGTTATTGATCATCGCGGACTCGCTCTATCGCGGTTTTTCAAAATAAGATTGGACATGACACACAACTGGCTGATTGATGGATGAGGCGCACGATCAGGATGGAATTCTTATTTAAAATAAATGTTACATTATTTATCACCTGCTGCACCTCTGTGCAGCCCACACTGCAGGATAAACTTCCTGCTGCAGCTGATCAGCTGTTCTCCGTGCAGAGCGGAGAAGTGGGCGTGGCCAAGCACACTTGCAGGTGGCAAAGAGCAGCCGAGGCACAGAGATCGTGGTTTTTAACTTATCGTGGGGCTTCAGGGTCCCCTGTGATAAATGAGGGACTACTGTACAGCAACCTATAGCAGTGGCCTGGACAAGCAAAGACTGTATAACCTTTGACCTTGACCTTGGATCTGGGGTGATGAGAAGTGTGTGTGACACTCCATCTAGTGATGAAGCATGTGTGTATGGTTTGGTTCAATTATCTTCAGCGAATCAATAGTTCTGGGCTGGACAAAAAAAACTGGCTTTCAACGGGCGTATAATTATAGTAGTATTAATGTGCAAATAGTATTAAACTACTTCAATGTGTGTGTGTTGGTATTCTTACAAATTCAACTGTTCACAAAATTATGAACACTAGAAATGCAAATCAGTCTTTAATATCAGCAGCTCAGCTGGGACTGAGGCTGGTAAAGGTCTGGTGACTCGTGACGTTTGTCCTCGTCTTGGTTTACATCCAGACAGAGGAACAATCCTGCACGACACCAGACGAGGGCTTCACCCGAGCAGACCTGTGTGATAGCCGTTGTCTGACGTGTAGAAGATGTACGTGTTGTCCAGCTCGTTAATGCTCCCAAGTTTCTTCACCAGCGTCTCCACCATGTCGTCCACAGATAACAGCGACTGCCACCTGCACGACAGATCGGACTTTGGATCATTCTTAAAGAGCACATGACTTGTCACAAGGCACTGGAGAGCAACAGTGTACAGCTGCAGCGTTCCTGCAGTCAGCTGACTCTTGGAGGATCTACTCATCCCATAAAAACTCATTGTTAAAATGATTTTAATGCAGCTTTAAACATTTGTTTTTTAGGAACCATAAATGTGCAGATTAGCATCACTTTTAGCTGCGACTTACATTCAGAGATTAGTTACAGATACATTCACTCCAGTCTTTTCAATAACTTAATATCAAGTGAAATAACCACATGATACAAAACTGATGACAGTAAACTCTATAAATTAGCGTTAATCATATAAAGCATGCTAACTAGCATCATTCAAGGTTTGTTTAACAGGAGACGTATAGATCTTCTGGGTTAGTCAATTATTAAAGACGAATCAAAGTATCAGCCTGGCGCTGCTGATTAGATGCACCTGATTAACTAATCATCAGCTGGGTGATGATTACCTCTAAACGCTTGGGTTCAGACAGTTTGCTGCTCTGGAGCACATGTTAATACAATGCCTAGCTGGAAAGTATCAGCAATGAGCTTAGAGAAGCAGCTGCTGTTCCTGATCAGTCTGAGAACGGTTACAAGCAGGGGTGCACATGACTGGTACGCAGGTACGCATACGCAACAAAAATCAGGAATGCGTAGCATCACGTTCTTTGCGTACTTGACCGTCAAGTTATCAACACGGTACTTCCCGGTGGGCCAGTCTGATGTGTGAACTGCAGGGCCGGCGCTCCCGTTTAAAAAGAAAAATATTAAGAACTTTAACACCCAGGGCCGGCGGGGGCAGCGGTTTATTTTGTTGTTGTTGTTGCACAAGTTGTATCAGCGACGCAGCCTGTCAATCAGTCCAGTAGGCATGTCAGCAACTGACCTATCGACGACCTCAATTTGTCCCCAAGGTAAACACCCCTTACCTGCAGATATATGCAGGCCATCGTTTTTTTTCTTTCCTAGAACTTTATTAACAACACAAAACAGAACAATGCGCCAAGATACAAATACAAACTTGTGAAGTGTGCCATAACTACCAAATTTTTCACCCTATTCGTCATGTTTTTTTGCAAAATTTGCATGCCCTGCAACTTATACGCCAAAGCAACTTATTTATGGATTTTTTTCCATATTTAAAAAACAATTTTTGGCTGAGATACGACCGTTTTCATTCATTCTGACTGAAAATATTGAACACTATCATTTTCAGCCACTAGATAGCACTCGAGTAGTATTGCATGCAGTTGCGTCATGTAATAGGTAAAAAAGGGGTTATTAATGATACAATCAGCTTGCCACAGCCTCCCACCTTCATCCAGCTCACCTGGAGCAACCGTCACATCGGCTTCATTTCTCTGCGCCACCCTGGTGAAATGCAGCTAATTTGACCATGGAAGTGCATTTATTAAGTAAAAGTTCAACTGAGACACCTTTACTATAATGTTGAGTAAACAAATAATTGTTTTTAAGTGTTAATTTTATTACATTTTTGTTAGTCCTCCCATGTACACTCCAGTGGCCGCCATTTGGCAGCCAATCGAGTTTTGGCACAACACCGGCCCACATATCTGGGTGGTCAGCGGTGACACAGCGGTGATGCAACTTATACGGCGAAGTGACGTATTTATGGATTTTTCCACTTTATTAGACATATTTGGACTGATGCGACTTATAAGGCGATGCAATGTGTATGGTGGAAAATACGGTACATTTCACAAAATAGTGAGTTTTACAAAATAATGAAAGAGAAAAATACCAAGGACAACGAGGTACATCTGCAGCCTCCACCATGCAGGAAGCTGAAGCAGAGGATAGTGGGAGTGACACCGAGGACAGCGAGGAAGATGGCCCTTATTAAGACAAGGCGAGTACCAAACACCATCTCCTGGTGAGGAGCCCACGAAAAAGTTATGTGCACCTCTGGTTATAAGGTCATTTCTAAATAAATCAGAGTCCATCATTCTACAGAAAAATTATTTATAAGTGGAAAACATTTAAGACAGCTGCAAATCTTTCTAAAAATATCCCAAAAATGCACGCCAAGTTCACGCCAAGTTCACGCCATGCAACGCTCAGAGAAGAGCAAAAACTCAGGAACTCCATGTGAGACGCTCCAGGGCTGTTAGTGGGTTAAATGTTAAATGTCATGACAGGACAGTTAGAAAAAGACTGAACAAGCATGGTTTGTTTGAAATGCTTGTCTGGAAAAAGCCTCTTGTCTTTACAATAAATAAAACAATATAGCAGCCTGACTTCTCTTTTCGGTTAGCTTCTACAAATAAACACAACAAAGAAGTAATAATGTCCTTTGGGCAGATGAGACCATAGAAATATTTGGCAGTAGAGGACAGTGACATGTTTATAGGAAAAAGCGTAACAGCAGATAGCCATCATGCTAACTGTCAAGCACGGCAGCAGCAGGGTCATCCTCCTCCACCTCACTCTGTCCTCACTCCAACTACCTCCATGTCCTCTCTAACATCATCCATATATTTCCTCTTTATCTTTTTCCTGGTTTGTTTTCTAACAAGAGGATCTGGGCACCTTGCAGCCATCCATCTGTCCAGCAGCTAAAGCGTAGTGGATTACTGGAAACTGGTTCACGATACAACACAACAATGATCCCAAACATGAGCAATCTACAACAGAGTGGCTCAAAAACAGAAGAGTCGAGATTTTGCAAAGGTTCTTTCAAAGTGCACACTTCAACCTGACTGAAAAACGCAGAAAAACGTCATGATATTTCTGCTCAAGTTCTACCATCAAAGAGGGAACTTGGTTTTTCCACGTACAGTATTTTATTTTGTTTAATGAATAATGACCGGGTGGAATCTGTTGAGCATTTTTATAAACTTTAATGAATTAGACCATTTTGATTATGTCCTGATGTGTAAGACTTGGCAGTTATTTTTACGCCGGATGCCCTTCCAGAAGCAACCACAGATCACTGAGCTGAACTAACTGTATTAACTATATTAATTATATTAACTGTATTATCTGTATTAACAACACATTGTATCTGATGTGTTCCGAGTGTTTATGCTGTTATGTTCCACCAAAGAACTGAAATGTTGTACCTTCTTCTGTAAGCATTATCCAAGAAGACGACGGAGCTATTGGGCATGGGGTTAACGGTCTGACGCAGCAGCCAGTGTTTGTCCTGGAAAAATAAGACAAACTGAGCTCAGAGGAAACAGTTAAAAACCAGCTGTCATACTGGTGCACAGAGCCTACATGCACCTTCAGGCAGCAAGAGTCACGTTCTTTGACTTCTCCAGTGCTTTTAACACCATAAGACCTGCTCTACTCTGCAGTAAGCTCTGGGACATGCAGGTGAATGACTCGCTGGTCACCTGGATTAGAGACTACCTCACAGGACGACCACAGTATGTGAGGCTGCAGAACACCAACTCACACCACACTGAGCAGCACAGGGGTTCCTCAGGGCACGGTCCTCTCACCGTTTCTGTTCACCTTCTACACCTCAGACTTCATACACAACTCACAATGCTGCCATCAGAAGTTCTGGATGACTCTGCCGTTGTGGGCTGCATCACAGGTGACCAGGAAGCTGAATACAGAGGTGTGGTGGACAGAACCACCTGCAACTCAACGCTGTAAAAACTGAAGAGCTGCAGGTGGACTACAGGAAGAAGATCAGCACCCCCAACCCTATCAACATCTAGGGTACTAAGGTGGAGGACACTGTGGACTGCTGCAAGTACCTGGGGGTCCACCTGGACAACAAACTGAAATGGACAGCTAACACCAACTACAAGAACTACATTACACCAGTTTTGGCCTCACTGCACTGGTTACCGGTTCACTTTCGAATCCAGTTCAAAATACTCATGTATGTCTACAAATCACTGAACAGTGCCCCCCCCCACCCCCCACCCCACCCCATCTCTCTGATTTGCTACAACCGTATGTCCCACCATGTTCCCTGAGGTCAGTGGACCAGTTGCTCCTCACAGTTCCAGGAACTCGTCTTAAGTGCAGAGGTGACAGGGCCTTCTCTGTAGCAGGACCAAGACTCTGGAACGAGTTGCCTCTGCTTGTCAGACAGGCCCCCACCCTCTCGGTTTTCAAGTCCCGTTTAAAAACCCACTACTATTCAGTAGCTTTCAACACCAGATGATCTGCGTTTTGATCCTGTATGCTCCACACTGGTTTGTCGTCATTATCTGCATCGTTTTTATGTCTATATTCTGATTTACCTCGTTTTGTATTTTGCTTTGTGTGTTGACTGTTGTTCTGTCTGCACAGCACTTTGGTTGGCTTTGTAGCTGTTTTAAGTGCTTTATAAATAAAGTGGTATGGTATGGTAAGAAAGGACAGAGTCACCTTTTTTCTTCTGAGGAGACTCAGGTCCTTTAATGTCTGCAGGACCATGCTGCAGATGTTTTACCACTCGGTAGTTTCCAGCATCTTTTTCTACACTGTGGTGTGCTGGGGCAGCAGGTGACGAAAGCTGATGCCAACAGACTCAATAAACTCATCAAGAGAGCGGGTTCAGTTCTGGGAGTGGACCTGCAGTCTGACAGAGGTGTCTGAGCAGAGGATGCTGAGGAAACTGCTCCAGATCCTGAACAACATGTCACCCCCTGCATGACACCCTGGACTCTTACTGCAGCACCTTCAGTGAGACCACCGAGGTGCTCCACAGAACAACACAGGAAGTCCTTCAAACTTTTCAACTCCTCCCCCTTTCTACACATAGGACAATAAAAATTAATCCTGCACCACAATAAACACTTTAATGTTTCTGTTTGCACCTGTTTAAAACTTAATTGTTGGTATTTTTATATTCTGTTATTTTTATATCTTGTGTGATTCCTTGTGTTCGTTCCTTTGTACTGAAACTGTGTCACAACAATTTCCTGTGGTTCTATATAAAGTTCTCTCATCTTATAATGTGAGCACTCATCTCAAACGTACCTTCCCTGGTTTGTCAAAGCTGCCGTCTCGAGGTGCCTGAACATTGTTGTATTTGTCCTGGTACTGAGGTGCTGCCGTCCACGGGGAATGAGGGGCTGGAGGTGCCAGCATCATGAAGAACGGGTGCTGAGGACTCCGCTCGTCCAAGAAGCTGAGCGAGCGGTTCAGCTGGATTTGAGAACAAGGCCGAGAAGTAAACACCAGAGCTGCCAAACGTACATTTTAATAACATAAGCAATGTTTACTGCATAAGGGTCAGATATCAGAAGACAAGCACCAGTACTGTCTGATGATTGAGCTATAAAACCAGATGATTCATATATTTAGAGTTAACCCATATTAAGACCTTAATGATAAATGTACTGAAAGAAAACAGCTTCTCCAAAAAGACCAGTCCAAACAGGACTCATCTGTTGTTCCACAAACACTTTAATGTTCAAATTATTATATTTCTGAATGAATAATTGGTACAGGTACATGCTACCAAATGTATCTTTACAAAGATTGACGAAGTAATACAATAACAAAGTACTTTTTGGTGGAAAAGAGTCCAACGTCTTTCAAGTTTTGGTGACATAATACACCACAAAGAGAACATTAAAGTTTGTAGAGGTGCATCTAAATAAACCCCAAAACTTCTGGAATAATGTACTTAGGACAGATGAGACCATCACCGTTTCTTTTTATACTTAATATTTTTGTTATTGTTGGGTGTAATTGGGACCCTGAGTACATAATTTTGTTCCACTTCATGCACCACATGTGGTGAAATGACAATAAACCTTCGTGAACTTGAACCAAAGTAGAGATTTGTGGCCGTAATGCACAGCTCCTCCACGTTTGGTAAAAACTAAACAAAATATCAGCATGAACATCATGTGTGTGCTGCCAAGCACGGTGGTGGAAGGATGCTGATCTGTGATTGTTTTACAGCCAAAGGACACGGGCATTTGTATACCAAAATATTCTCGACTCAAACATGATACAATCTGATGGCTGAAGCTCGGACCAAACTGGGTCATGATGCAACAGAACAATGATCCCAAACAGCAGCTGATCTGCAGCAGAACCACAGAAAAAGATGATGATGAAGGTCCCGTCAAAGACTAGATTTTAACTGGACTGAAATGTTGTGGTGGGACCTTAAGAGAGCTGTCCAGAAACTAAATGCCTACAAACCTCAATTAATGAAGCAACACTAGAAAGAAGAATTAAATTTAAGAATTAAATATTTGACAGACTGATACAAAGTTATGTAGAAAAGGACTTCTTCCATCTGCACCGCCTGGCCAAAAAAAAGTTGCCACCTGGATTTAACTAAGCAAATAGGTACGAGCCTCCTATTGGATAATTACTGCATGGGGGACTATCTTTCAGCTGCAACAAGTTATTTAACCGGCCCTGTGATGGACTTGCGACCCGTCCAGGGTGTACCCCGCCCCTCGCACAGTGATTGCTGGACATGGGCACCAGCGACCCCCGTGACCCAAAAGTGGAATAAGCGGGTAAAGATAATGGATGGATGGATGGAAATTATTTAACCCCAATTGGTGCAATGAGTTGCTTCTCATTTCTTAAACAACCATGTTGAAGGCACATCGCGTGGTCGTGGAAAAGATGTCAGTCTGTTTGAGAAGGGTCAAATCATTGGCATCAAGCAGAGAAAACATCTAAGGAGGTTGAAGAAACTACTAAAACTGGGTTAAGAACTGTCCAACGCATTATTAAAAACTGGAAGGATAGTGGGGACCCATCGTCTTCAAGGAAGAAATGTGGCCGAAAAAAATCCCGAATGATGGTGATCGGCGATCACGTAAACGTTTGGTGAAATCAAATAGAAGAAAAACAACAGTAGCTCTCAGGGCTGTGTTTAATTAAAAAAAGTAAGAGCATTTCCACACACACAATGTGAAGGAAACTCAAGGGACTGGGACTGAACAGCTGTGTAGCCTAAAGAAAACTACTAATCAGTGAGGCTACCTGGGACAAAAAGGCTTCAATTTGCTAGGGAGCATAAAGATTGGACTGTGGAGCAATGGAAGAAGGTCATGTGGTCTGATGAGTCCGGATTTACCCTGTTCCAGAGTGATGGACGCATCAGGGTAAGAAGAGAGGCAGGTGAAGTGATGCACCCATCATGCCTAGTGTCTAGTCATCAATGCAAGATCTTGGTGAAAAATTAATCAACACTGGATGGAAATAGATCTTGTGACATTGTAGAAGCTTATTGAAACAATGACACAGTGATGCATGATGTAGTCGAAGATAAATTAGTTAATAAACACATTTTATCAGTTATGTATAGGGCTCAAAATAACACATTACCATTAAATATCCAAAGAAATTTTGTTAAAAGACAAAGTTGTTATAATCTTAAGGGGATAGAGATATTTGTCAAACCAAAACTCAGAACTAGTCTGAAGGGAAGGTCTACCTCAATCCAAGGAGTTGGATTGTGGAATGGTCTAGAGAGTGATGTGAAAAATCAGAATCAGAATCAGAATCAGTTTATTATCGCCATGTCAATGAACGAGGTTCACAAACTAGGAATTTGCTTCGACATAAGGTGCGAATAGTAATAAAGTAAAATAAAGTAAAAATAAAGTAAAAATGGAGTAAAAATGAGAACATTACATAAGACATAAGACCTGTGTACACCCACAAATAAAGTAAAATTAAAAACATAACATAACCATATGTACACCCATACAATAGAAAACAATAAAAAAGCTTAGAGAACAGTACAGATGGAGTATTCAATTATAATACAGATGTAATGTGACCAAAGCAGAAATTATGAGGTAGCATTATGAGTGTTCAGGAGTCCAACAGCAGAGGGGAAGAAACTGTTCTTATGGCGGGAGGTTCTGGTCCGAATGGACCGAAGCCTCCTGCCTGAGGGGAGTGGTTCAAACAGTCCGTGTGCAGGGTGAGCAGGGTCAGCTGTGATCCGACCTGCTCGCCTCACAGTCCTGGAGACGTACAGGTCGTGGAGGGATGGAAGGCTGCAGCCGATCACCTTCTCAGCTGAGTCCACAACGCGCTGCAGTCTGAGTCTGTCCCTGGCAGTGGCCCCGGCGTACCACACCGTGATGGAGGAGCTGAGGATGGACTCCATGATGGCCGTGTAGAACTGCACCATCAGCTTGGTCGGCAGCTTGGCCTTCTTCAGCTGTCGCAGGAAGTACAGTCTCTGCTGGGCCTTCTTGATGAGGGAGCTGATGGTCGGCTCCCACTTGAGGTCCTGGATGATGGTGGTGCCGAGGAACCGATAAGAGTTTGCAGTGGTGATGGGGGTATCATTACAGGTGGGGGGGGGGGGGGGGCCCGAGGGGCTGTGGCTTTCCTGAAATCCACAGTCATCTCCACTGTCTTCTGGGCATTGAGTTCCAGGTTGTTGCTGCTGCACCAGGTCACCAGCCGGTCCACCTCCCTCCTGTATGCAGACTCATCACCGTCCGAGATGAGCCCGATGAGGGTGGTGTTATCTGCAAACTTAATAAGTTTCACAGAGTCGTGGCTGGAGGTGCAACAGTTGGTGTACAGGGAGAAAAGCAGGGGGGAAAGCACACAGCCCTGTGGAGATCCTGTGCTTACAGTCCGAGTGTCCGAGACAGCTCTCCCCAGTCGCACGCACTGACTCCGGTCTGTCAGGAAGTCTGTGATCCACCTGCAGGTGGAGTCAGGTACATGGAGCAAGGAGAGCTTGTCTTGGAGCAGAGCAGGGAGGATGGTGTTAAATGCGGAGCTGAAGTCCACAAACAGGATCCTGGCGTAGGTTCCTGGGGGAAATGCCAAGTCAATGTGTACATTTAAGAAAAAGATCAAAGCTGAATTGTTAAAATATATATATATGAAGTAGCTTAGTGTGTTTTTGTATTGGAATTAGAAAAATTAGAAAGAGTTATTCATTTTGTTTTTTTACTTGAAAATTATTATGATTGAAATAATCGTTTGAAAAAAGGGGCAGATATAATAAACAATTTTCTTCTTTCTGCTGCCTTTCATTTTAAATCTCTTGTATTTTTTTTATATAGTTATGAAACTGTTTTGTATTTTTTAAAATGAATAAACTTTATACCATACCATAAAGGTGGTCCAACAAAATATTAGTGTGACCTTTTTTTGGCCATGCAGTGTATTTGCTGCTAAAGGAGGTTCTACAAGCTGATCTGGTGGATCTGTTGCATGCGTTTTTGTACATTCAATGTTTAATGTTCCATTTAAATTACCGTATTTTCCGGCGTATAAATCGCAGTATTTTGAATAGATTTGTCAGTCCTGCGACTTATACGTCGAAGTGACTTGTATACGTTTTCCCCCCATATTCACAACACAATTTTTGACTGACGCTTTAGATTTCTAAGAACTGCAACAGCGAGTCCTCCCACGCGTGCTCGCTTCCCTCATCTGTTGCAGGCGAAGGAACACTGGATGGATGGATGGATGGATGGATGGATGGATGGATGGATGGACGGCGCTGCGCCGCCCAGGTGAAATGAAGCTGTATTGACCATTAAATAAATGCATAACAAACGCGACGTGTCAGCGGTGACGCATAGCAAATGCGACCTAAACACTGAAGTGATTTATACGTCAGAACGTAGTAATTTAGGACGTGGTAAAGACAACATAATGCGTTTGTCCTGATACAGAAAACCCTAGCAAGGGTGTGCTTCTCCTTCTGCGTGACTGGGCGCAGTATTTTTATACAAAAGACTTCTCAGTTTCTTTTCACTGGAACTATTTTACGACTTTCAGACGAATCTGGAAAAGTTACATTACAGCTGTTCAGTGTCACTTGGCATTAGAGTTTACATGAATGTGTTTTAATGTAGGAGGACAGCTGGTTAGGCTGGTTAACTTGAAAGTTGAACCTGATAAGGAAGACATGTGGCAGCATGAAATGCTGAAAGAAGCTTAACTTCTTAAAATCTGCTAAATCTAAACAGTAAAGTGTTTTCATGAGCTGTGCGTCTACAAGAGCTTGGTCCATATGTTCGTTAGCTTCCACACGCCAGTAAAGAAAACTTGCAAGCCTTTGTAAAATAATGTTGTGCTACCAGCTGATCCATACAGCTTTTGAGGTTATAAGAGTTTTTTCAACCATAAACTCTTACGCAAGTGTTTGAGTCACTGAGATACTGCTGATCACAAGCTCAGAGCAAGCAGAAGTCACACGGTCAGAGTGATTTTGACTCACAATGAGGTCCGTCAGGTAGTCCTTCTCATAACTGTCATTGTGCTGTTCTGCTTTCCCGTTCACTGAAAGTGTGTAGTTGTAGTACTGGGAGTTTCCCACCTGAAAACCACATGCAAAGGATGAGATGACACAAGCGCTACAGTGCTGTGAAAAGCTCTCATTTGTCTTACAGTTTGTCTGTTTTTGACTTTTGCAACACATGTTTCAGATCAGCAAAGAATGTTAATATCAGACAAGCATAACCCGAGTAGAAACAATATGTAGTTTTTACATGATGAGCTTATTTATTAAAAAAGGGGGGAATAAAAGAGCAACAAACCTGGGCCAATGTAAAAAAAAAAAAAAGGTAACCACTTCCCTTGTTACATTATGAATTAACTGTGAGGGTTTTTTTTTTTTTTTTATAAAACTGAGTTGAGTTTTAACAGCCACACTCTGGCCTGATTACTGACAGGAAAATTAAAAACACTTGGAGCAATTGTCCACAAATGAAAAACATGGAAAAGTTGTGAACCTTCCCAGGAAAGGCCTGACGGACAAAATGAGTCCAAGAACGAAATCAACGATTCATCCAGGAGCCTCCAGAAGAGCCCAGAACAGCATGTAACGCTCTGCAGGCCTCGCTGCGTCAACAGCATAAAAAGAGATGAAGGGCAAAGATGGCCTCCGTGGAGGGTTCCAAGGGCAAAACCACAGCTGAGTTAAATCAACACAAAGACACGCCTCACATATTGGATGAAAACTGTCTTTGATAATCAAGACTTTTTGGGAAAATACTCTGGATTTACGAGACCAAATGGAACATTTATTGAAGATGTGTGACCAGTCAAACACGGTGGTGGTGGTGTGATGGTCTGGGAGTGCTTCACAGCTTCAGACCTGGACTGAAGCAGCTAATTTATTCAGCAGAATATGTTGGTAATTCACTTGCCAACATTATACAATTCTTTGCTTGCCCATAACTGACGAAAACATGAATCCTGTTCTCCACCAGAAAAATCCTGAAGGGGGATTTCTGGCCATCAGTTCTTTTGTTCTGCAGCAGGACAGAGAAACAAAAACCTCCAGCAACATTCCTCCACAGCCGTGTAAAACTACTTGATGCCAGTTATTGCAAACACTTGATTGAATTAGTTGCCACCAAGTAAAACACAATGAGGTTAAGGAACAATTACTTTCTCCTATAGGTTGGATTGGAAAGGTTTTTTTTTCCTTTAAAAACTGCTTTTTGTATTTACTGAGGTTACCTGCTTGATATGAGCCTTTGTTTGTTTATCTGGATTGTGCGTGACAACAAAACACAGAAGGAATTTGTAAGGGCCAACACGTATATTCAGCATATTGATTCAAACAGGACTCACCAGTGCATTCCACTGATCCCAGCCAGGTGGAACATGACTGACGTCTCCTGCATCCTTGTTACCGTACTGTTGAAACAAACAAGCCAAGAGAGACGGCATCATAACTCAACAGTCAAACCACCACAATAATTAGCTACAAACAAGAGCTGAGGACAACACTTTTGGGAGGTAATGTTTTTGCCTGTGCGTGTGTGTCTTTGTCTGTATAGTTAGCTTAATATCGTATGAACTACTGGACAGATTTGAATCACACTTTCAGAAAGTAGTCACAGGGTGTACATCTACAACTCATTAACTTTTGCAGTCAATCCAATTCAACATAGTGGCTACAGCAAGTCAACCTTAGCTGATACAAAAATGGCTATAACTCAATAAATTTTCAGAATTAAGGCTCAGTTTGGTGTGGTAGTAGCTGAGAGGCTTACTCAACACATACTTCATGTGCTAATGGATCATGCACCTGATGCAACGAGATTTGATCAAAATTGGCAATACCTCCACTATGGCATGCTGGAAATGTGGACTGTCCTCAGATCAATTCAAAATTTTAGATATTTTTCTGAAGGTATGAACAAAATTTAATTAAAAAAAAATAAAAAAATTAAAAAAAATCGAGAGCATTCATACTGTCAGCTACAAGACTAGAAACCAAGATTGTACAATTGAGATACGTGAGTGATCCAGAGTCTCACTTCCACTTCAACATATACTCTGTTTTTAAAAGAACCTTTGCTGTCCATAAGACTCCTGAGACGTTCATTTTCTCTTGCATCAAGTTTGACAACCTGCTAATCTAAACCAAAACCAGTGAGCACATCAACAAGAAGATGCAGTTAGTCACAGCTTTTACAAACCAGGACAAAAACATCTGCATTAGTAGAATGATGCCTGTGGAAATCAGCTCAGCATTCAATACAATCATTCCCATAAACGGGCTCAAAAAATGAGCAGCATGGAATTGGGCAGTTCATCATCTACATGGATCCGGAACTTTTTCCAACAACCCATTCTCGAATGTCCAGATAAGTGACCATACATCATATGCCTTTAGCCTGAAAACAGGAACTCCACAAGGGTGTGTCCTCGGTCCCCTCCTCTATTCCATTCAAAAATGATGCAATTGACACAATTTTCACTTTGTTGATAATACCATCAAAGTAGAATAAACACAGAAGAAAAATAAGACAGTTGGCAGTCAATAGGGATGAAGTTGACAGTCTATAGGGATGAAGGGCCACTAAAAATTCATTCAACCTTTTTTTAGACAGGTTAATCTCATTGAGCCTCGAGGACTCATTTACAAGAGAGACCTGATTTCAACAAAAATGATGACAACAATGGACAACAGCAACAACAATAAACAATTATAAAAAGTCATACTGCAGTTTTTATTTCTTTTTATTATTTTTTTTTTACAAATAGGATGGCTAAAAAAAAAAAGGTAACAAAAAACAGCTAGATTCTAAGGTGAATGTAGAAAACTAAAAACAGGAACATGTCTGCGTTGGTCCCTGCCAAGAGTCCAACAGGTTCTTAAAGACACTTAGAGAGGTCAAGGTCAAGAGCTTCAATTGTTTTTGTAAGGTATTCCAGGAAACAGGAGCGGAGTAGGAGAAGGCCCTTTTGCCTAGTTCAGTCCTCACTGAGGGAACACTGCAGGTAATAATGTCCTGAGAGTGCACGCTGTAGCTGCACTCACACAGAGACATGTAGGAGGAGATGTATGAAGGCAGCAGACCAAGAAGTGATTTAAAGATGAAAATGTGCCAGTGGGAGAGTCTGCGTGAAGTTAATGATGTCCAGTTAACCAGTGAATACAGGGTGCAGTGGTGGGTACGATAATCACAGCCAGTTATGAATCTTAGTGCACCATGATAGACAGCATCCAACATCTGCAGGGTTCTTGTAGGAGCGTTCATGTAAATAATGTCACCGTAATCAATGGAGGGAAGGAAAGTCACAGATACAAGGCGTTTTCTAGCATTCAGGGTTAGACAGGATCTGTTTCTGAAAAAGAAACCCAGTTTAACTTTCAGTTTCTTTACCAAGTTTTCCACATGGAGCTTAAAAGAGAAATGCGAGTCGACCAAGATACCCAAATATTTATAGGAATCAACAAACTCAATCGGGACACCGTTTGAGGATAAAATCAGAGGAAGAACTGCTGGGATCAACTTCCTATTTGAAAAAAGCATCCCTTTGGTTTTGTCGGCATTTAGGACAAGTTTGAGGCGGAACAAATCTGTCTGGATGTTGTTGAATGCAGATTTCAAAAGCTGGAAAGCCTTAGCAACAGTTTTAGCTCGACAATAAACAACTGTGTCATCAGCGTAGAAATGTATGGATGCATCAGGGATGTTTTTACCTACGTTATGTATGTAGATTGTAAAGAGGGTGGGTCCTAAGACTGAGCCTTGTGGTACACCAACATACAACCTGTATGTTGGTGTACCAACATTGGTGTACAAACAACCAAAAATGTGGATTAAAACCAAGAAAATCATCACAAAGACTTAATAAAATAGACAAAACCTTAGAACCCTGAACACTTTGCTTTCTATGAACAACAGCAGGAAGTGTAGAGGATATAAAGCTTCTAACTCCTCAATAATGACTCAGCTGACCTTGGACGAACTGCACGTTTCCTCTTTTTTAATTAGTCTTTTATATACATATTAACAATAAACTCACATTTTCTTCACCATAGAGCACAGGAAACATATCAAATGTTTAGACTAACAAATTCTAAATTTTTAAGAAAATAAAGTTATTTGATAGTAGCAAACACATCTTTAAAAAGTTGTGGCAGGGGCAATAAAATGCTGTAAAAAGGAAGTGGTATGAAAATCTGCTAAGTTCCTGGCAAAAGCCAATACAGATATGTTCCTGTTTTTAGTTTTCTACATCGCATTACAACCTAGCTGTTCTTGTTTCATTGTTTTTGTACAATTTTCTTTCATTTATTCTTCTCAAGCGTTTATATGCTTTCTTTTATGATTGTCAACTATTGTCTTTGTTGTCCACTGTTGTCATTATTCTTTGTTAAAATCAGGTCTCTATTGTAAATGAGTCGCCGAAGCTCAATGGGACTAACCTGTATAAATAAAGGTTGAATGAAAAGTGGTATGAATAAGAAAAAAAGTGCATTTTGCAGTTTTTTTTTTTTTCTTCTTCTTCTTTCGGCTGCTCCTTTCTTCAGGGGTCGCTACAGCAAACTAGCTTGCATGAAGACCTGGCAATTGTTTTTACACCAGATATCCTTCCTGACACAACCACAGACCACCGACCTACCACAGCCCTCTGTGTGGAGCAGAGAGCTGCCATCCAGGGTGTCCAGGGGAGCAGATTGTGGGGGTTAAGGGCTTTGCTCAAGGGCCCAGAGTGGGGAAATGAAGGTGGAGGCAGGTGTAGGTGCTTCACCATTCCCACCCACATTTTGATGTTGTCGGTACAGGATGTTGAACTGGCGGCTTTCCTGTCATCACAGGCCCATCCACTCTACCCTCTGCGCCATCACTCCCACAATTTCAATTAATTAGCTTAACTGATAATACCATCACAACAAAAATGAGACGTGTCAGTAAGAGGACTGGGTATAAAAGAGCATTTTAGAGAGACTGACTTTCTCAAAAGTAAAGATGGGCAGAAGTTCACAAGTCTACAAAAAACTGTCTAAAAATACTGGAACAATGTCTCTTAATGGAAATTGGAGGAGAATGTAAATATCCCATCAGCTACAGTTCATAATTTCACCCAACATGGTCAAGAATTTGGAGAAATCTCTGAGTTCAAAGGACCAAGTTGAAAGTCAACATTAGATGCAGGTGATCATCAGACCCTCAGGGGCCACTGCATTAAAAACAGGGCTGGTTTTGTTCTGGACGTCACTGCATGGACTCAGGAACACTTCCCCAGGGGGGGTGCAAAGGTGGCATGCCGGGGCTTCTCTGGGCCTGTGGTGTGGGGCTGTTGGGGTGTCTGGTCCTTAGTGTGCTGGGCCGGCCTTCCTCAGCTGCTGCTCCCTGCTGCTCTGGCCCCCAGCCTGGGGCCGACTTGCGGTTGCTGTCGGGTGGGTGGGGCGCATGGACGGCCCGACAGAGGCTTTGTCGAGCAGTCTCTGTGTGCCCGTTTATGTCTCGGGTTGGGTTTTAGGTGGTCCCCTCTCTTGGATCAATTTGGGCCCCCTCATTTAATGTGGGGTCTACTTCCCCCTGTCGTGCTCCCCTCCGATGGTGGGCACCCCTGCTGATAGTGCATTGGCGGCTCTCAGCAGCTGGGGCTGGGTGGTGGGGTGTGTGCAAGCCCACCCTGGTGGCTGCCTGCCGGGGCCTGGGTGCCCTGGCTCTGTCGGGCCTCTGTTGGGGGGTGGTATGACCTCGGGACTCAGTGTTCATGGCCGGATCTACTCTGCAGGGGCGGGTTGCTGGCGGGGCCTGTGAACTCGTCGTTGCAGTCTCTGGAGTTTCTGCATTGTGGTTGCTGTGATTGCCCGGGGCTTCCCTATTATTCTATCTCTGGGGGGTGCGGGTGTCCCTGTTGGGGGACTCACGGAGCTCAGGGCTTGGGGGCTGCTGTGTGTCTGTGGCTCCGGTCTTCCATGTGATGCCATCGTGTCCTGTGGGGACGGGTCTGTGGGTCCCCACATCCACTATTGAACATTTTTATGGAGAAACCTTATAGTGATAAGCATGCTCACACAGGTGTTTAGATTCAGGTGTTTATCAGATACACACTCAGTTGGGTTGTGGAGGCCACTAAATATACGTTGTATTACCATGTACTGTAGAAAATACTTTCTAATGATGTTACAAGTATCATTATATAAGTTGTTTGTTGTTTCTTGGTTTTGTCTTGTTTTTTTTCTTTCCTCAGGTCTACAGTCAGACTTCAATGATGTTCTCTCTCTCTCTCTCTCTCTCTCTCTCTCTCTCTCTCTCTCTCTCTCTCTCTCTCTCTCTCTCTCTCTACCGTTTAACCCTTCTCTCACTTTTCTGCTTTGTCATCTTCTTTGTTTTTCATTCCCATGTCCATTACATCTGAAACAAACCCAAAGTAAATTCTAATAAAATGTAATTTATATATCAAGCAGAGCATTAAGGCCGGCCATAATACTCTGCTTGTGAAAGTAAATCTGTTGGGTTTCACTTTGACACTCAGACAATAATTCTAAGTGTCACAATGACGGACAGGACAAGGGGGGGAAAAAAAGGGAACACTTCCCCAAATCACGATCTGTAAACACAGTTTGACATGTCATCACAAATGCTGCTTAGATCTAATAGGCAAATAAGCAGCCACATGTGAACACCATCCACACAGTCCACCGTATTTCCTGAGCCAAAGTTCAATTAAAACGAGAGAAAGTGGAAAACTGTTCTGTGGGCAGACAAATCAAAATTTGAACATCTTGTAGGAAGACGCCACAGATGCCACTTCCTGTTTACTACTGAGGAGACGGTCATCGGGCACTTTATCAACACACAAGTCAAAATACTGCCGGGCTGGCTGATGGTATGGAGTGCATTAGCTCTTATGGTACGGGCCACAAACCTGTCAGAGTAAAACATTAAAAAAAGAAAAACAATGAATGACACAAAATAAAAGGGAATTTAGAAGGAACCCTGCTTGAGCCTTTCAGATATTTGAGACTGGGACGGTTTGACCTTCCAGCAGGACACTTAAAGCAACACTTGAGCAGTTTATGGTGAAACAGTTACCGTATTTTTTGGCCTATAAGCAACAGTTTTTTGCACAATTTGCACGCCCTGCGACTAATACACCGAATCGACTTATTTATGGATTTTTTTTTCCATATTTATAAACCAGTTTTTGACTGAGATATGACTGTTTTCATTCATTCTGACAGAAAATATTGAACACTACCATTTTCAGCCGTTAGATGGCACTCGAGTAGTAAGGCATGCCATAGCCCCCCCACCTTCATCCAGCTCGCCTGGAGCAACCGTCAAATCAGCTTCATTTCGCTGCGCCGCCCCGGACAAATGCAGCTGATTTGACCATTGAAGTGCATTTATTAAGTAAAAGTTCAACTGAGACACACCTTTACTATAAAGTCGAGCTAACAAATAATTGTTTTTAAATGGTTATCTTGTTAAATTTCAAATAAATGCACAGCGAATCATCCCTCTGCGCGATCCTACTTCCATGTGTCGATTTTTGAAATGCAGCTGATTTGACCATTGAAGTGCATTTATTAAGGAAAAATTGGACTGAGACACCTTTGCTATAATTTCAAGCAAACAAATAATTGTTTTTAAGTGTTCATCTTGTTAAATCTTTGTTAAAGTCCTCCCGTGCACGCTCCTGCAGCCGCCATTTGGCAGCGAATCAATTTTTGGCACAACACCGGCCCACATGTCCAGGTTGTCAGCGGTGACACATAATAAATGTGACTTATACGGCGAAGCGACATATTTATAGATTTTTCCACTTTATTAGACATATTTAGGCTGATGCGACGTGTACGGTGGAAAATACGGTAAATGTCCTGGAATGGTCCAGTCAAAGTCCAGACATCGATCAAAATAAGAACCGCTGGTATGATTAAAGACTACTGTATGAAGTGGCACCCCAGGATACTGAAAGATCTGGAGCAGCTTCAAGAATGGGTGGATTACAAAGAATTCACAGTCATGTAGGTTAGAAACAAATGTTTTCAGACCTGATTCAGATACTTCCCGGCAAAGAACGTCTGGTAGTTCTGCTTGCTGAGGTAGACGGGGAAAGCCTCTGCTTCAGGGCCTTTCTGCCACAGAAGGCTGGAGCAGTTCCCTGACAGGGAGTTGTTTCTCACCTCGTGGTTGTGGGGGTACCGACCCGTCAAAATACTGCTCCTGCTGGGGCAGCACAGTGGCGTGATGGTAAACTGGAGGAAGCAAGAAGGGGAAGCGGTACACAAAGGGGAAAAAAAAGGAAAATGCTGGTAAAAGTCAAGCGTGACAACAGGAGGAGCGCACGTCACGCCATTAGCGTGCATTAGGGCACAATCAGTCAGGCGTGCAAGAAGTTACTCAACTCTTTAAGTACAGATACTGCTGGAAGGAGCTAACATGTAAAACAGACGAGACATTAAAGGTTACAGTCCAAGATGGGCATGAAGCAATTGCACACCTAAAAATACACATTTAAGATAAAGATGAAGTGAAAAATTATATTTTCCTGTGAAAGATGAGAAACGGACACTTCAAATAGAAATGTTTCATCCACAGAGTAAAAATACTCACAGCATTCAGAAATGTTGCTCCTGCATCTCCTATAGTTTCTTTTGTTTTCTTCATAGGTATCTGCAGAAAAGAATCCAGAAGAGACATGAAGGGTGTCGCGTTCCAGCATCTAACCAACGCTCCAGGAAAAAGCCAGTTTTCATTCTGCACAGCTTGCTGCCACCAGCCCTCACTGAATATTTCTGTCACCTCTTCATGTCTTTCAAACTGTAGAGGGTTTTGGCTCCTTTGTTGTAATTTTGGTCTCCGTTTTTTTTATTAAACCTTATTCAAATCAGACAAATCCTGCTGAGAGGGAGGCCTGGGCCTGGGCCTCGGCCGAGCATGCATGCTTTAAACTTGGAACTTTTCTTTCACCGCAATGTGCAATCAGAATCAGAATGCTTTTTATTATCATCATAAAACACAATTAAAGTACAAGTGCAGCTCCTGTGAAGTGCCCACAACAAAAACATCAACCCCCCCCTCCTACATTTATACCACTCACACAGTAAAACTAATAATAAAAGTAGAACAAAACTATGTACCGTCCATAACTGGGTATTACACATGGATAAATAAAATGACATTAAAATGAATAACCTGGGTTGATATTTTATTCAGCAGCATTTAGGACTCTTGAGACTCCTTGAGCAAGACCTCAAAGAATGTCAGGAATAAAACAGTAAATCTGCACCAGGTTGAGCTACAGACCAGCAGCATGAAGCTTGGGAAGAGAGAAACAGAGATTATGATGCAATATTAGGACAAGTGTTGTGGTCAGATGAGAAGGGGTTCTCCGCAGGACAAACGTGGGCGTTTCTGGCTAGTAGGCGTTTGTAGGGGGCAAGCACTGATCGGCTGTATCTGCTGCTCTTTATTTAAGTTACGCAAGCTCTTTTTTAAAACTGAAGGTTTCTAAGAACCAGCATTAAATCTGCTGTCAAACACAAGAAGACTCTCTTTAGTTCTTGGTTGTAGCTGCACCTGACACAGGTTGGCTTGAGTCTGGTCTGGGTACAATGAAATATGAAGCATTTGAAGTGAAACCTGCTCCTATTTGTCCAAAAAGTCTGGTCTCAATTAAAGATCGTGAGTGCTATGATGAGATAATGACCCAAAACAAACGCTAAAAACAAAATTGGCTCTTTAGAAGTGTCTTCTATGACATCTGATCTATGAAAGGAGCTGAAACATGGAGTAGGGTTGACCTTTAAAATGTGAGACAGCTCAGGAAGTTAACCAGTAAACAGAAATACCTGCTCCAGTTGCAGAAATCTTTCAGAAACTGACAATCACTCATCTGCAGTGACTGCAGGTTGAACAAGACAATGTGAAGTTAAAGGAAACATCCTTTGTCCCAAGGCCAGTTTAAGTATCATTAATATTTTTCTTTCTTTATGAATCGATTGTAACTTTTTTCACATTTTTCAACAACCAAAATGGATTTTGTTTTTTAATGTTATGGCTAGGTATTAAAAAAACCTAACATTTAGCTCTCCCCACTACCCAGTTATGTTGCTCTTATTTTGAAATGTAACCGGAAGTTCTGTGTTAAGAGAGGCGGAAAAAGAAGTTCAGGAGACGCCGCTAATGTCGAACCGGTTAACACCATAGACATAATATGTCTGTGGTTAACACAAACGGCTTTTTATTGGTCAGCCTTTTTTTCTATTGTCCAATCAGATGTGGCCGGCCAGACACGCCCATTTTCCTATAGTCCAATCAGAAATGGACCCCCGGATACGCCTCGTCCAATCAGATGTGGCCTCCCAGATACGCCTTCCGAATTTGTCTGCAGGGATACCTACTTGGGTCAGATGAGCCTTTTGGCATCATCATCCAAAATGCTGCTGCCAGAGTTCATATACTGGCTGGGAGCCTTTCTGATTCGAGTATGCATGTTCTCTCCGTGTTTTCTCCTGGTACTCCAGTTTCCTCCCCCAGACCAAAAATATGCATGTTAGTCTGATTGGTAACTCTAAATTGTCCCTAGGTGAGAGAGTGTGAATGGTTGTCTCGTTTGTCTCTATGTGTCCATGATGGACTGGAGACCTGTCCAGGGTGTACCCCGCCTCTTGCACAGTGACTGCTGGACATGGGCACCAGTGACCCCCACATCCCGGTTGGAAGGATGGAGTTAGTAGGAGAGATCATCTCTCTCCAGTTTTAGTTTCTCTCCATTGGCTCCCTGTCAAATCCAGAATAGAATTCAAAATCCTACTTCTAACCTACAAAGCTCTCAACAACCTAGCTCCATCTTATATTACAGATCTTGTTGTTCCATATTTTCCCAACAGAGTACTTCACTCTCAGGCTGCAGGTTTACTTGTGGTTCCTAGAGTTTCCAAAAGCAGAATAGTAGGAAGATCTTTCAGTTATCAGGCTCCTCTCTTGTGGAACCAACTTCCAGTTTGTGTCTGAGAGGCTGACACATTGTCCAGTTTAAAGACTGGGATTAAGACTTTCCTTTTTCATAAATCCTACAGTTAGGGTCGGCTTGTTATGCTGTTTTAAGCTTAGACTACTAGAGGACAAACTGACCTAATTTCCTTAAACGACTTGTTAAAATTGAATTAAATTTCATTTTGATACTATTTTTATCTTAACATGTGCTTATCGACCTGCCATTGTGTATCTGTTCCTCCTTCCTGTTCCTCTCAAACCCAGCCGGTCGAAGCAGCTGTCCGCTTGTCCTGATCCTGGTTCTGCTAAAGGTTTCTTCCTCATGAGGGAGTTTTCTCCTTTCCACTGTCTCCTTCATGTTTGCTCAAGATGGATCTGTGATGGAGTTAAACTCAAAGCAGTCTGCTCCACATATAAATAATGTTAAATTATTTATAAATATGAACGTTTCTGTTCAGTGTCTTGAGACGACTTCTGTTGGAACATGGTGCTACATAAATAAACTGAATTAAATCATCTTGACTCACTGTGTTAGCAGGAAGAGAAACTTTGACCTGAAGAACCACATTCTCAGTGTCAAGCACACAAATTAAACATGATTTGAGGCGGTTTTCTTCAAAAGGTAAATGGTCTGTACTTATTTAACTATCAAAAAGGAATCTGAAGGTGTAGCAGCTGCTACAAACACTTATTATAGTACACAACTTAGTTGGGTTTTTGACCAGAGAAACTCTCCAATCAGTCAACTTCTACCAAGTAATAAGTGATGTTTTGCTGGGGGATAAAACTCTTCACTAAATGTCATCAAATCAATGTTTAACTTAAGTGAATGTGATTCTACTTCTTAATTTCTAGTTGACGTTCCGTTATGCAAATAAAAGTACAAAATTAGACCATTCATGTCTTAAGTGGGCAAATTCACAAAATCATCATCAAATATTTCTCCAGAAGTGTATGAGTCTTGAACCAGTTGATCCAGCGCATGACGGGGCTCAAAGTTTCTAGGGAACAAAACTGCGTTAAACATCGGTGGGACAGATGAAAGCGTCACAGGAAACATAAAGCTGCACTTGTTCTTTCACGTGTTTTGCAGGTGCTCTACTCACCATCCCCCCCAGCTGAACGTCCTGATCGTCGACGAGCACCAGGATGATGTTGCTCGTGGCGCTGGCCGCGCACCTGACGCAGCAGGTGAGCAGCAGCGCGAGCAGCGCTGCGGGCAGTGCGGGGCCTCCACCGCGCCGGGGCCCCGCGGCTCCGGCTCCTCTGCTCGGTCCTGACATTCGGTCCAGCCTGGCTCTTTAACCTGTGGTCCTGCTGCTTCCCCGAACCGCGACTTCTGTTCGACTCGGTCCGGGCGTGTGGAACCGGACACACTGAGGTTTAAGGAAGTGGGAGTGCGGGGTCACGTGATCCAGCTGAAGGGGAGGACAGGCTGAGGAACTGTTACCAAATTATCTCATGACCATAACCCACCTACAGAACATAATGATACTGAAATATATACCTTTTAAACAGTTAGAGCTTTTATTTTTCATTCAACCTTTATTTATACAGGTTAGTCTCATTTACAAGAAGGACCTGTTTAATATGGCTTCTATGGCTCTGTCAATGTTACACACATTAACCTAACATTTGGTGTGGTAGTAGCTGAGAGTCATCCTCAACACATGTTATGATTACTAACTGATTGCTCATCTTTGGTTAAAATTATTTGTCAGGGACTATGTACAGAAAAAATATTAAACTGAGTAGATGCACTGTACAAGATCTTTCTAGCTGCAGTTTGGAGTTAATGATGTCTCTTTGTTAGCAAAATATCTCATGGACCACTGGATGGATTTTAATTAAATTTTCACAAAATATTAGGCGTGGAAAAAAAATTATGATTGTTATTGTCAGTTATTTTCTTAACGTTTCCATTGTTTCTGTTGACATTGTTCCTGATAGTAAAACCCGTTCATTTTTTGATTCATCTTTGAATTATTTTATTTGAGACAAACGAGCTTCTATTTATCACTTTTGGCGAGCGCTGTTTCCAGTCGGAACTATTTTGGTGAAGCGCCGTTACCGGCACTGCTGTGTTGCCAGATAGAGTCGTGGTTTTCCAGCCCAAAAATACGTTTAAAAACCACCACATCACACAAAAATCCGCCCAGTCAATATATTGTTACAGTATATTTACTGTTTGAACATGAACGCGCATCAACACAAGCAAAGGTAATTTAACAATATGTGGCAAAACGCAACAATCAACAAAAATCTTCCCAGAGTTCCCAGTAAAATCAAAACGAAAACCGCCCCTGATCTGGCAACACAGTGCAGCAGCACCACTGCTTCCGCTGTCCTCTGTGCACAGAAAGGTTTGCACCTAAAAAGTGCACACAGCAGGAAATGTGACCTGACAGCGACGAGCTGTTTCATGTTGTGAAGAGATTACTTTACGAAAAGTGTCCGTGTGAACAAAATTGAAGTCAGTATCAACAACAGAGTTTATGGTTTTGTTGTGTAGAAAATGATGCTGGTGCCACTGAAGCGAAGGAAACTGGTCTTGTCTAAAGGGAACACTGGGGTTGATGGAGGGGACATTGTAGCAGCCAAGTTTCCTCAGGTTGTTTTGTTCTTATTGGAAAGAAAAATGGGAGCCAGTCGAAGGACTTTTCTCTCTCAGCTCGGACGAAGGAAAGGATTTCAGGTGGAGGAGCAGTTCAGGTGAGAGGAGGCGAACTTTATGTTTCCTGCTGAAAACATCACCTGTTTATCAAGTGGCATATAGTTAAATAACACCATGCAGTTAAGTGAGAGAAAGTGACCAAATATTAAATAAAAGCATGGCACTAAGCTATGGGGTGCCATTTGTAAAGTTGCACAGTCAAAAATTAACATCAATAGTTTGGCTTATTAACTTTTAATAAGAAAAAATTTGTAGGTTTTTTTTTTCAGTCATATTTTCACCATGTTCATACATTTATAAATGTCATAGTTCCCAATTAAATATTTAATTTACAAGATAAATATTTAGTTTACAAAACTAAATACTTAACTTGCAAGTTAATTTATTTAGTAAACAAAATTAAATATTTAATTTCTAAGCTAAACATTTAATTCCTAAACTAAATATTTAATTTGCTAACTAAATATTTAACTAGCGAGTTCAATATTTAGCTACCAACTTAAATATTTTGGTTTGAGGTCAATATTTAGTTAGCATTTATTTTGGAAATTGAATGTTTAGTTTGTAAAATATATACAAACCGGATTCCAAAAAAGTTGGGACACTAAACAAATTGTGAATAAAAACTGAATGCAATGATGTGGAGGTGCCAACATCTAATATTTTATTCAGAATAGAACACAAATCACAGATCAAAAGTTTAAACTGAGAGAATGTATCATTTTAAGGGAAAAATCTGTTGTTTTCAAATTTCATGGCGTCAACAAATCCCAAAAAAGTTGGAACAAGTCCATTTTTACCACTGTGTGGCATCCCCCCTTCTTCTTACAACACTCAACAGACGTCTGGGACAGAGGAGACCAGTTTCTCAAGTTTAGAAATAGGAATGTTCTCCCATTCATGTCTAATACAGGCCTCTAACTGTTCAATCGTCTTGGGCCTTCTTTGTTGCACCTTCCTCTTTATGATGCACCAAATGTTCTCTATAGGTGAAAGATCTGGACTGCAGGCTGGCCATTTCAGTACCCGGATCCTTCTCCTACGTAGCCATGATGTTGTGATTGCTGCAGAATGTGGTCTGGCATTATCGTGTTGAAAGATGCAGGGTCTTCCCTGAAAGAGATGACGTCTAGATGGGAGCATATGTTGTTCTAGAACCTGAACATAGTTCTCTGCATTAATGGTGCCTTTCCAGACATGCAAGCTGCCCATGGCACAAGCGCTCATGCAACCCTATACCATCAGTGATGCAGGCTTCTGAACGGAGCGTTGATAACAACTTGGGCTATCCTTGTCCTCTCTGGTCCGGATGACATGGCGTCCCAGTGTTCCATAAAGAACTTCAAATCGTGACTCATCTGACCACAGAACAGTCTTCCATTTTGCCACACTCCATTTTAAATGACCCCTGGCCCAGTGCAAACGTCTGAGCTTGTGGAGCTTGCTTAGAAATGGCTTCCTCTTTGCACTGTAGAGTTTCAGCTGGCAACGGCGGATGGCACGGTGGATTGTGTTCACTGACAATGCTTTCTGGAAGTATTCCTGAGCCCATTCTGTTATTTCCTTGACAGTGGCATTCCTGTTTGAGGTGCAGTGACGTTTAAGGGCCCGGAGATCACGAGCATCCAGTAGAGTTTTACGGCCTTGACCCTTACGCACAGCGATTGTTCCAGATTCTCTGAATCTTTTGATGATGTTATGCACGGTTGATGATGATAACTTAAAAGTCTTTGCTATTTTACGCTGGGTAACACCATTCTGGTATTGCTGCACTATCTTTCTGCGCAACAATGGTGGAATTGGTGATCCTCTTACCATCTTGTCTTCTGAGAGACACTGACACTCTGAGAAGCTCTTTTTATATCCAATCATGTTGTCAATTGACCTAATTAGTGTTAATTGGTCTTCCAGCTGTTTGTTATATACTCAATTTCCTTTTTCCAGCCACTTACTGCTACTTGTCCCAACTTTTTTGGTATTTGTTGACACTGTGAAATTTTGAATCAACATATTTTTCCTTTAAAATGTTACATTTACTCCGATTAAACTTTTGATCTGTCATCTACGTTATATTACGAATAAAATATTGACATTTGCCATCTCCACATCATTGCATTCAGTTTTTATTCACAATTTGTTTAGTGTCCCAACTTTTTTGGAATCCAGTTTGTATATTTAGGTCCAAGCTAAATATTTAGTCAGCAAATTAAATATTTATTTTAGGAATTAAATGTTTAGTTTAGCTATTAAATATGTAGTTAGTAAACTAAATATTTAAGTGTCAATTAATTGTTTAATTTCTACCAAAATATTTAGTTTACTGACTAAATATTTAACTTGCAAGTTAAGTTTTTAGTTTGTAAACTAAACATTTATCATGTAAATTAAATATTTAGTTGGGAACTATGACATTTATAAATGTATGAATAACATGGTGAAAATGACTTTGAAAACAATATTTTTTCTTATTAAAGGCTAAATAAACCACAATATTGATGTTAATTTTGACTGTGCAACTTTACAAACGGCACCCCATACTAAGCTTCACTTTTGTGTCTTAACTGTTCGAGTTTCACAGTCTGTGTTGAGGTTCTTTTTGCTTTTCCTCTTGTCTAACCCACAGTAAGAAGGTGACGCATGTTATTTGTGAAAACAACTGTGCAGAAGACGTCAGGACGTGGCTGGCCTCACAGGGAGGAGAGCAGGCAGAGGTCCACCTGCTGGACATCAGCTGGTACACAGAGAGCATGCGTGCAGGACACCCTGTGCACATGCTGGACAGACATGAACTGCAGGTGCACTTTGTTCACATTACTAAAACCATTCTGCTGCTGACATCCAACTTAAAATCTGTTTATATGTTTCTCAATAGGTCTTTTAACCTTTATCTGTTTCCTATAGTTGTATTTAGATTAAACAAGTTTTGCCATGGTTGTAGTTAGAAACCTCAGAGTGGTTTTTGAAACCTTTTACCAAGAATGACTTCTTGGCTGGAGCTTGTAGGAGAAACTGGCTTGAACAACGTGAGGGGCAGAATCAGAAGCTTCTTGACACATTTTGCTTTTGTTGTGAAGGTGGCAGCACAGGAGGGGTTGCACGACTACATATTTTTTAAAGTCAGCTTCAACATGATAAAAGTCTAGTCGACATGGACTAGTCGCTGTGACCTCAAGACGCTGTATCGTATTCACAAAAAGTCATTTAAAAAGAACAACAAAATACGGGAGCGTATATTTATGCTCCTACCATTTATCATACTGCAAATGAGTCACAGGAAAAACTAAACAAGCTGCAAAAGTGAAAGAAACGTGCTGCAGGTAAAAGACAAAACTAAAAACAGGAGGTGGGCGGTGGTGGAGTCCACCGTTGTGGATTAAATTTAAAAAAACTAAAAACTGGGGTGCTGGTGGAATCCAGAACCGCCTGCTGACACGGCAGCTGGGTCCAGTCCAGTTAAGCTTCAAGCAGCTGTCTTCACTGAAAACATCCTGAACAGGATCGTCACTGACTCGAGGCCTCTGTCGATGGTTGAAGACGATGATCCACACTTTTATTCCAGGTTACAATGATCCACACCTTTAATCCAGGTTACAATGATCCACACTTTTATTCCAGGTTACAATGATCCACACTTTTATTCCAGGTTACAATGATCCACACTTTTATTCCAGGTTACAATGATCCACACCTTTAATCCAGCTTACAATAATCCACACCTTTAATCCAGGTTACAATAATCCACACCTTTAATCCAGGTTACAATGATCCACACCTTTAATCCAGGTTACAATAATCCACACCTTTAATCCAG